TCCTTTCCTTTCCTTCCCTTCCCTTCCCTTCCCTTCCCTTCCCTTCCCTTTCCCTTCCCTTCCCTTCCCTTTTTTCTTCCAGAAAAAGATTCTAGATGTGAAAGGGAAAATTCTGGCACCACAGATATAAGATAACACAGAAAATCCCTTGTTCACCAGCAGAAAAAAAACCCTAATTGCTGCAAGAGTATGGGATTAATTGCACACTGGCCTTCAGACTTCTGATTTCATATCAGGATCGGGTAAATCCGAACAAAACACTCATCCAGATGAGGTGCCAGAGGGAGGTCAACCCCAAAAAAAACCCCAAACTCCATCAAGGTTGCTCTAAGGTGAGGATGGCTGCAAGGGGTGAGTGCCACTGGGCTCTGGGTGCATCCTGTCACCCTTGTGCCAGTGCTGGCTGTGACTCAGTGTCCTCCTCACCAGGTCCCCCTCCCTGCAGCAGGGTTTGCTCTTGCTGCTGGCTGTCACACTCTCTTTTTGTCTGCCTGTAATTACCCTGTGGATTTTTCTCTTTCCTCATTTTGTTTGTTTTTTTTTTTTGGGTCTGCTCCTAAACTACTGTGGTGTAAAACTGCCCAGGAGGCTCTAGGGAGACGACCCACGATGACACCACCCCTGCTGAGCTCTGAGATGTGGCTTTTGCTCTTTTCTCTCCCTCCCTTGCTCCTGCTCAGCTGTTTGAGAGGAAAACACCCCTTTTAATTCCTCTCTCATACCCACTTTCCACCTCCCGGGCTGCTCTTCATGCCCCACTCTTATCTTGGATCTCCTGTGGCCACCCAGAGGACCACATGCTTTGCAGTCTATGTCCATCTCATTGCTAGCTCCACTGGGACCAGAAGTCTAGCTGCCTCCTTGTGAAGCCTTGCTAAAGCTTCCTTGGCTCTAAAAGCCTCCTCCCCAGCGTGCCCCAGGCCATGACTCTTGTCCTTCCATGCCCGTCTGTCTCTCTGTGCCTGGAAACTGTCTGTCTGCCTCAAACTGCCTCTCCCTGTCAGCTCCCAGCACTCTTCATCTCCCTCCTCCCTTTGCTTCCGGCTCCCCTCTCTCCTCCTCCTCCTCCTCTACCCACGCTCCCTACTTTAATTAGAAAGACAATGAAAACGCTTCTCCTTATGTCTTAATCAGCAAGTCATTCCCCAGCAGGTCCAGCAGGAAACCTCCTGTTCATTCCTCCTCTCCTCTCCTCTCTCCTCCACCACCTCCACGGGAGAAGAGCACACAGATGAGGAGAGATCTGGGCTAAGGTTGCTGGAGGAGATTGACCTAGAGACGTGGAGAAGCTGCAAGAAAAGGTCGACAGAAACCTGGTGATGTCCCTCAGGGACAAATCCTGGGCATGGGAAGAAAGTCCCTGGCAGCAACTGACTGGCAGAAATGGACCTGGGAGTCCATTTAACCCATTAACCACTGGAGTAGGTTGCCCAAACAGGTGGTAGAGACCCCATCCCTGGGGACATTCAAGATCAGGCTGCATGAAGCTCTGAGTAGCTTGATCTAGTTGGAGATGTCCCTGCTTATAGCACAGGGGTTGGACTAGATGACCTTTGGAGGTCCCTTCCAGCCCAGATGTTCTATGATTCTGGGAATGCTGAGGGACAGCAGGCTGAGTAGGATCCAGCAGTGTGTCCTGGCACCAAAAATAAGTATTCTGGACTGTGGGAGCATGACTACAGCCAGGAGATTGATGGAGATGATTATCCTCCTCTACTCAGGATGTGTTAGAGCATATTTAGCTGCTTCAAGCAGGTTTAGGCCCCTTAGAACAAGTTACTGATGAGCTGGAATGAGTTCAGCAAAGGCCATTGAGGTGGTCAGGGCTAGAGCACTTGTCTGGTGCCTGATGTGGGACTTGGGCTTGGCCAGGCTGGAGAAGTGATGGCTTTGGGGGAAACTAGTCACAGCCTCCTGTATCCATGGGAAAGTAATCAAGGAGATAGACCCAGACCCTTCCTAGAGTTGGCTGGTGGACAAGAGACGTTGGGTGTGAATTGAAACAAGACAGTCTGGGTATAAGGAGAAAGGTTTTCCCTCTGAGGACAATCATTTAGTCTAGCAGCTTGCCCAAAGAGGGTTATGAAACCTCTGTTGATGGTTTTTTTCATATCTGAGACCTGAACCACCTCGTCTGACCCAGCAGCTAACTCAGAGTAGGAGTTTGAGCTAGAAACCTAGCAGCCATAATATGATATCCTGATATCCCAAATCCTTTGACCAGACCTAAGTGCCAAATGAGGCCACTGAGACTGATGAATCCTCACTGAAAACCAAGGGAGGAAGAGAGAGGTAGCAGGGGATTTGGTGGAGTAGCTTTTGGAACCAGCTCATCTCAGACTCTGGCATTTGATGGGACAAGGTAAGGTTGAAACCAGGTCACCTTGCAAAGTGAAAACCAGCCTGTAACCTGTCCCTATCCTCTGGTAATCTCCTAAAGGGCATTTCTGGGGAGCCTGGGTGAGAAGCTTTTAGGAGAACATCTTCACACTAATCCAGAGATGAGAGATTGCACAGTCTCTCCCAATTCATGTCAGCTCTTGCTGGCAATGCAGATTTAAGGCAGACTATCTGGAGTGTAGAGACAGCAGCATGAAAGGCTCCAGACCTGTCCCAAATCCTCAGATAATTGACATCTGAGTCTTTCTCAGCACAACACAGATGCACAAAGATCTCATGCTTAGGAAAGCTGGGTGAAAGTGAAGTGAACAAGGAAGAGGATGTAGCTCCTTGCCAGTCCTGTCCCTATCATGATGTGTATAGGGGACAAAGTGGCATTGGGAGGGTCTGCTGAATCAAGCATCCTGCATTTACACCCTCAGAATCTTGCCCCACTCACTGTCACTCCTCACCTTCAACTGAACCACGCAGCTCTTCTATGTCAGCTTGCTGCTGCCCTAAATAACCTTCCTGTTTCCCAAGACCCGTGGTTGACCTTGTGCCATCCCCTGGTGGGGAACAGACATGTGCCTTGCTACAGGACATGGATCTGGGGGGATATTTGGAGTCCTGAGCCTCATTCTTCATGCCCTGCAGCTTAATCCCCACCAGTTTGCTCCAAGGGGACTGTATTTTAACCAAACTCTTGGGGTCCCTGAGATTTCCTCTCAGCAGGGCTTCACTGAAAGACCACCCACCTCCTCTGCATCTCTCTCTTACCAGCCTGGCTTCAGTCCCACCAGGAAACACATGGCCAGGAAACACAGGAGAGGACACCCCTCCTCAGCCTCCCTGGCACGCTGCCCACCACCCTGAGCAGAGGCTGGGCCACCTCCCCTCTGCCAACAGCTTTGAAACCTCTTTTTAGGTGTTATCCATGAATCAGCATCCCACTGCCTCCGGCCACTGTGACTGGGAGGAGGATGAGAAGCCCCAGATAGCCTCAGCACCTCTCCGAGGGGGTTCCGGCAGGGAACTCTCTCAGATTAGGGATTCCTTTTTTCCTCTGGCTTATATAAGAGCCGGGGACTCCTTTTATGGTTGGCTTTTCCTGCTTTGTCAAGAGCGAGGAACAAACGCGGCTTCATCTGCGCCTGTGGGTTGGCTCACTGATGAAACATCTGATTCAGGCTAAGTAAGGAACAGGCTTCTCACGGGTGGATTTAATTTGGTGTAAAAACCAGGATGCCAACCCCCCTCCCCCCCTGAACCTTCTCAAGATAGCGATTAAGCTGCTGCAATTAAGCAGTAGGGATAACTCCCCCCTACCAATGCTTTAGACAGTCCAGAGTGCTCCAGTTTGTGCTGAAGCGGCTCCTTTGAGTGCTTCCCCCCTCGACTTCTCCCCCTCCTCTTTTTTTCTCCTCTCTCTCTCCTTTTTTCCCTGCTGATTTGCCACCATTCCCAAGGATTTGCATCAGGAGCGAGCACCGCGGGCGCACACCCATGCACGAGAGGCTGCGCGGGGGGCTCGTGGGCGTCCGTCCTGGTGTGACACAGAATCCCTCCTCATCCTCATCTCCCCCTCTGCAAACCTTGCCAGGGGAAGCATGCTAACGCTGACCTTGCTGAGTAAATAGTTGTGGAATGAATAAGTGTTTTTCCTGCAATCTGCAAGGCGGAAGGTGCGATTACTCATCCATCTCCCCAACTGTCTCCAGCACCTTTCAAGTGCCTCCTCGCGTCGAGTCTGGGGGCGTGCGGGAGGGGGTGGGAAGCGAGGGGAGGTTGCCAAGATCTGGGTTGCCACAGCCACCGGCCTCGCTTTTCCTCCAATGAACGGCGAGCTGAGAGTGAGAGAGGAGGCTGGGCACCACCCACATGTTGAGCTGTGTGGGGTATAAGTAGATGGAAGAGCCTGGACTAGTGGCAGTTCAGCCAGGGAGGAGAAGCAGCTCTTTGCATCTCTAGCGAAAGCGTTTTTGACTTGCCAAGTTTTACCCGAGGAGAAATCAAGGGGATTTTTGCAGCAGCTTCCAGCTTCGGTGTGCATCTCTGTGTGTTTTTCTCCAGCGAGGAGTCTCAGCCTTTCAAAGCTTCTCAGCTCCGGACGAGCAGGCAGCAGGCACTCGTGTGGGGCTGGACGACTTGGTCAACTCCTCGTCTTGTTCCTGGAGGATCCTGACTCTCTTTGGGACACCCTGAGAGCGGCGTTTCCACCTGGGCACCGGGAGAAATTTGCTACAACTCTCTCTGGAATCCACGGGGACCGAACAGCTCGCTCTGGGGTGATATCTGATTTGGGTGTGTTTGTGTCAGAAAGTCCTTTGAGGGGGGTTTAGAAGTCTCTGTGTGTCTTTTCGGGGAGTGTTGTGGTGGGGTTTTTTGGGAGCCAGCTCTAGTGCCAGGGCTTGCAACCTAGTTCTGCCCGGGTTTGACGCTCGCACGGCAGGTCGGAGCCATGCAGCTGGATAATGTCACCAATGCAGGCATCCACTCCTTCCAGGGGCACCGTGGAGTGGCCAACAAGCCCAATGTGATCCTGCAGATAGGGAAATGCAGGGCAGAAATGTTGGAGCACGTCAGGAGGACCCACCGGCACCTCCTGTCTGAGGTCTCCAAGCAGGTGGAGCGTGAGCTGAAGGGCTTGCAGAAATCAGTGGGGAAGTTAGAGAATAACTTAGAGGACCACGTCCCAACTGATAACCAAAGATGGAAGAAGTCCATCAAGGCCTGCCTGGCCAGATGCCAGGAAACGATTGCCCATCTGGAAAGGTGGGTCAAGAGAGAGATGAATGTTTGGAAGGAGGTCTTCTTCCGTCTGGAGAAGTGGGCAGACCGCCTGGAGTCCATGGGGGGCAAATATTGCCCCGGGGACCAGGGCAAGCAGACGGTGTCCGTTGGGGTGGGAGGACCCGAGATAAGGCCAAGTGAAGGGGAGATTTATGATTATGCCCTTGATATGAGCCAAATGTATGCGCTGACCCCTCCTCCTGGGGAGGTGCCCAGCATCCCTCAGGGCCACAATTCGTACCAGTGGGTCTCTGTGTCAGAGGATGCTCCAGCCTCCCCGGTGGAGACCCAAGTCTTTGAGGATCCCCGGGAGTTCTTGAGCCACTTGGAGGAATACTTAAAGCAGGTGGGTGGCACAGAGGAGTACTGGCTGTCTCAGATCCAAAACCACATGAACGGCCCAGCTAAAAAGTGGTGGGAATACAAGCAGGACTCTGTGAAGAACTGGGTGGAGTTCAAGAAGGAGTTCCTGCAGTACAGTGAGGGGACTCTGACCAGGGATGCTATCAAAAGGGAGCTGGATTTGCCTCAGAAAGAGGGGGAGCCCCTGGACCAGTTCCTCTGGCGCAAGAGAGACTTGTACCAGACCCTCTATGTGGATGCAGACGAGGAGGAAATTATCCAGTATGTGGTAGGCACCCTCCAGCCCAAACTCAAACGCTTCTTGAGTTACCCCTTGCCCAAGACCTTAGAGCAGCTGATCCAAAGAGGGAAGGAGGTCCAAGGCAACATGGACCACTCTGACGAGCCCAGCCCACAGAGGACCCCTGAGATTCCATCAGGAGATTCTGTGGAGAGCGTGCCTCCCTCAACCACGGCCAGTCCCGTGCCGAGCAACGGGACTCAACCAGAGCCCCCCAGCCCCCCAGCTACTGTCATATGAGATCATCCAAGGGAGGCAGCAGTCTGGGTTCCATGAAAGGGAGAAGGGGGCATATTTAAGGAGCTTCTCCTCGGAGAGAGGTTCTGGCTGAGACGAGACATGAGGTGTGCTCAGTCCAACAGCCCATAGCAGAGGACTTACCTTTGCTTGTGGGGGGAGGGAGGCGATGGGGGAGAGGCACCTGAGGCTGTGGTTGCCCACCTCACCTGAGCCATGCAATATGGTGGTGTTGGAGACACTGCTCCCACCACCCTGGGGAAAGGACAATTTTATGAGATCCCTACCGAGCAACTAGAGACAATTCCCAACTTCTGAGGCAGCTGCTTTGCACTGGCAGCTCTCAAGGACTTCATACGAGTGCAGCAATTGGCTGAGGGTTCCTACCCATCTGGATCTCTCTTGCTCCTCCTCTGCTCTCTCTTCTGAAGAGGTGTCCCTGTCCTGAGGAGACACCTTTCTTCTGACCCTTGCCCGTTTCTGATTTACCACTGGGCTTCTGTTCACTTGGCAATCTCATGTTTTTACTTGCTCTAAAGGATTAAATATATATTTTTTTTAAAATCTCTTATTTAAGGATGAAATCTGATGAAATCCAGGAACTGAAAAGTTTAAGAATCTGGATTATTTCTAGAGGTTTTCTTTTCACTGCACCTAATACCTGCTTTAATGTTTTTCCTCTCAAGAGGCTCTTATTGGTTTACTTCTTGTCTTAGTTTCTGCTCACTGCAGCCGAGGACACTGCAGTGCAGAGGCAAATTTCACCCTTTCTCTGCCCGTTAGTCTGTGCATCCAGCAGGAAACAGAGCTTCAAATGAAATTCTGAGCTCCTGTATGGAAGGGGTAGTCTGCTTCCTTTCAGAGAAGAAAGGATGTCGGGGTGGAGAGGGGAGACAGCAGAGCTATTTTAGGAGGGTGGGGGGGGAGGTAAGGGAAACAAATCCTTCTACTTTGAATGAAACAAACAAACACATCCAAACGCCAAAGCAAAAGATCCCCAGAGCAGCAAATCGAGCCCATGCTGAAGCATGGAGACAACAAGAGCTTTTGCCATGTAAAAGCAAAAAAGAAGTGAAGAGAGGAGCTGTGTGCCCCAGCACAGTTTCAGCCTGTGCATGACAACAAACAGCTTCTGCTCACACAGACAGACTCCAAATACTCTTGGGAAGAAACTTTTTGCAACATCTTACTCTGGATGGAGACCAGCTTGGACTCTGGGACATTTTCCATGTTGAGACATCAATGCTCAGCGTTGACCTTGCTTTGCTTCATGGACTTGGAGATGAAACTGTTGTAAGACCTGCTGAGGAAGTTTGGCTCTTGAAAGTTTCTTGAGGCTGGAGAAGTCTTAAGCATCATCTGCATTCACCACCAGACCGACTGAACACCACCTCTGCGAGAGATGCAGCGGGGATGCAGCAGCAGAAGTGCCCCTGGGATGCTCCTGGCACTACTACAGCAGTGACTTGTGGCACCAGAGGCTTGAAAGGCCTTTGGTGTGCCTCCTCCTGAGAGGCTGAAGGTAAGACAACACTCTGACATCCCTCAGACCTAAATTAGCCATAGTTTGCCCAGTAGGAACAAAAAAATCTGAACTGGGACATGAAGCATTGTGACAGGTTAGGGTTGGGGGAAAGGGGAAGGGACACCCAGCCAAAGGGAAATAAAGGACAGTGACTAGGAAAAGGTTCCAACCAGGACAGTTTCTTGCACTTTCCAGCTAATATGAGGAGGAAATGGAAAGATTTTTGTTAGACTAGCCCAAGTCCCTGCCCCATGAAGCTTCAGGCTTGAGTCCTGAGCTATGACAACACATCACAGGTCCATGCACAGCCCAAAGGAGATGGAGGTGTCTGTCTTCTCTGCACCCCTGCTAGAAGTGAGTCAGTCTGAGGAATGCTGTGGGCTCCTCTCTTGTTCAGAGTGAGTGAGTTTGGCAGCAGTTGTATCTGCAGAGGGAAGGGAGCGTTTCTCACTAATGACCTGGGATGAGTGGTGGGGGAGTGGGTGTCTTTGTTGAGGATGAGCTGGCCATGCATTACAAGCATTATCTTCTCTTGGTTACAGTGACTCACTCAGATCCTCCTCGGAGAAGGAACCGCTTTCCCACTGCTCAAGATTCAGAAGGAAAGCCAAAGGGGAAAAAGCTCCAAACCCAAGGATTCCACATCAGACCTGCTGTCAGGAGCTCCAGCCACAGACTGCTGGATCCACTCTCTGAAGGATGGACTGGTACAGGTAATTACCTCTCTTCCTACCTTTGTGGGCCTTTCTTAGCCTCCTCAGTGCCCTGACCCGAGGTGTTTAATAGCCCAGGTACAAAACTCAGTGCTGGTCTTGAGACCTCAGCCCCAGTGGGTGCAATAGACTGGCACCTCCACAGAGGGGAGATTTCAACTTCTTGATGTAGGGACCCAAGCATGAACCCCAAAAATTAATGCTCTAGGGACAATGCACATCATGCCTTTCTTTCTGCTGGACCACTGGCAGATGCTTAGACACCAATACCTAGTGGGAGCTCCAGGCTGCAGATACCTACTGGGTACAGCTGAATTTAACCCCATCTCCTGAGAAATCCCCTGTACTCTCCACCTGAGACATCTAATCAGAGCTGCTGCATTTTTCTTCTCTCCCAGAGGTCCCTGCTGCTGTTGCTGAGCTTCCTTCTCTGCATCCAAGAATCCTGCTTTCCCAGGAGTACTGCAGGAAGAGAGAAGGCAAACCATGCACCAAAGAGCCTCCCCTGAAGTGCAACACCACTTTCAAGGTGCTGAGGAGCAGAACAAAATGGGGAAGCCTTTTCCAACAGGATGAAGAAAAGTCTGAGCTGGTCCAGGAGCTCCAAGCATGGACGTGTTGAGGACAAGAAGAGAAACCAAGAGGTGAAACAGAAGAGCCAAATCTGGGAGTTGAGGACAGCAAGGATGCTGGGCTTGCACGGACTGTCTGTGGAGATGATACCATACCTCTGCAACTTGGGGCCACTGGAACTCACCTCAAGAATTCTTCACTAGGTTATCAATTTAAAAACAAACTTTCCTGATTAACTTTGCCAAATGACTGACCCTACCTTGGCTACGAACCCTCCATGCTGTTAATGCTGTAACTCATTTTTCCTGAGTTGAGGGTAGCTTCATTTCATGCGGGTATCAGTTTCAAACCTCAAAGGGCTCTGGAGGTTTGGAGAAGCATCCTGTGGTCCAGATGCTTGTCTGAACTGCTCGAGCCTGCACAACTAAGCCAACTGTCTTGCCAGAAAGGAGAGTTTTGGAGACAGCAAGCTCTTCCTGGATCTGCATGGGCCAGAGTCACTGGGGTTCTTGTGCTGGTTTTGGGCACTGCTGTTTCCATCCAGACCCAGGGAGGGCAAAAGGCGTTCAAAGGACAAGAGCTCGAGTGAGTTGAGCAAGACAGTTTTGGTTCACATCTCAGCTGACAAGGTCCAGTTGGTTCCTCTCTCTTCCAGAGCCAACTGTCCCGGGTATGCACGTGTGTGTGTGTGTGTGTGTGTGATGAGCAATCCAATCCACCTAACCAAATTCTGTGCTGTTATGTCACATATGAACTCAGCCCACAGAACCTAAAGCACATTCCAACAATGCTCAGCAAAAAATGTCCAGGACTGGAAAATTACATCAAACCATGGAAAGACAAACTTCACAGGCATCACCTCCAGGTCGAAACCATGTTTGATTTTTGAGGTGCTTAATTTCCTCAGTCTCTTTCAAGGGACTGGACTGCCTCAAAAGGCATTTTTTTAGTTTTCCATAGACTTTCCTGCCTTTTTAATGAGCCTGTCTGTGCTGTTTGGTCATTTGGTCCTGAGATTTATACATTTTCAGCTGAATTTTTGGAGTGTGCAGAACTGAATCTCCTGGCCTGATTTTATTTCCATTATTGCTCCTAGCAGATTGGAGCTTTACTTGTAGCACCCTAGTTTCTATGACCAGCCTCTCCAGGAAGGACTGGTAGTTTATTTTCCTGGGGCAGAGCCATGTGAATGAAGTGTGTATGTGTTGTGCCTGTGAAATTTTAGCAGATTTCAACCACATTTCAACTTTTTTTTCCTTAGGCAATTTTAAATTTGACTCTGACAAAACTACTTTAGAGTTTTTATTTTTACTAGAGATATTATTAATTCAAACAACCTTGTACAAAAGGCAAACGTATTGAACCACTACAGGTTATAGGGGTTGAAGCCAAAAGGTCTTTGTAAGCCGACATCACTTGCCCTGGATCTGACTGTATCAGGCAGTTTATTCCTCATGTGTCATGTTGGAGTTACAAGATCACACCAAGCCACTAGAACCTGTCAATAGAATAGTGCTACACTCTATTTCCTACTGTAGCAAAGCCTTTTGTAGATTTATACAATAAAACTTTGAAATATCTGCTACAATTGCCTTGTGTCTTGCTTTCCTGGCTTTCTGCTTTGGTTCATGGGAGACTCAAGTATCTACTGCCCTCTGAAGATTTGGTCTTGTCAGTCATTTGGGCTTATTTGACTCATGAAATCTTCAACAAAAGCTGGAAATGACTGACATAAAAATGAAATGCAGTGGGCCTTTGAAGACAAGGGGTTGGATATAAAAAATATGAAGGTGTTTCAAGGGGGTTGTTTAGCATCTCACATGGGTCAAATGTAGCCCATGAGGTTGGGGGAAATGGTCCCCTGGGGGGCTGTGGGTGGTGCAGGGCACAACTGAGAGAAAGGATATTGAAACAGAGTGAAATCACATTCCCACCCACGCTTGAGAAGTAATAAGCATGGAAGAGCTCAGGCAAGGTAAAGAAAACTCTACGCCTGAATCAGCTCTACTTGATATCTAATGACCCTTCAGCTGTCAGAAGAACCAGCACTCAGCAGCACAGAGACCCAGGAGCTACTCTCAGACTAGTGCTTTGCTACCTGATGCATTCCCCTACAGCAGCATTATTCTGCTTTCCTTGGGTTTTTTAACCTATAAAACTCCCCTGGGTCAGGGCTGGAGGAAAGGAACTAGGCAGGGATGCAGCTCAGAGCATTTTAAATTGAAAT